AAAAAAAAAAAGATTGTACTACAAAAGCAACCTACAGATTCAATGCAATTCCTATCAAAATACCAATTAAATTTTTCACAGATAAAGAAAAAACAATTTTAAAATTCATATGAAACCACAAAGATCCTGAATCCCCAAAGCAATACTGAGCAAAAAAACAAAGCAAAACAAAATAAAATAAAATAAAAAAGCAAAAAGCAAAAGCAAAACAAAAACCCAAAGTTGGGAGCATCATATTACCTGACTTCAGAATACACTACAAAGCTGTAACAACCAAAATGGCATGGTGTTGGCATAAAAACCCACACCGACCAACAGAACAGAATAAGGAACCCAGAAATTTATCCATGTTTTTATAGACAACTAAATTTTGACAAAAGCGCCAAGAACATACCTTAGGGAAAAGACATACTGTTTAATCAATGTTGCTGAAGGGAAACTGGATCCTCATATGCAGAATAATGAAACTGTATTCCTACTGTTAGGTAAATAGCTAGGATCTCTAGCTCTTCTATTGAAAAGGGTGCCCTGCTTTGGTGTTGCCTCAAGCAATTGCCCCACCTGGGAAGAAGGATAATGGCCCTGCACTCCATTTTGGTGTGCCTCTCAATCCTATCCTGAGCAACTACTACATCTGGCGAAGGAGGGAACATTTTACCAATCCTGGATATCATCGAGGGATAATAGGATTTGAAAACTGACCCAGTGTAACCTAATGGCAAATGTAATATTATTAGCTAAAATCTACATTGTCGTTCATTCCCCCCTCCCCTGTAGGGTTTTTAGAGAAGGAGCTTTCATACACAGATATAACCTTGAGAACACCTGTTTATCACTTGGTAATGTCCTACACCTCCCAAAAGCCCTTCCCTGTAACAGGCTGATAAAAGGAAACAACTTGAAAATTCCCAGAGAGAATCAGTCAGTAAGTCTGTCCGTCTCTCTCCACTCATGAAGACAGACATGTTTCATTTTATAACAAAAAGCCACTGGTATGAAACTGTTTCCTGCTGTGGTCACTGTGTCACACCAGCCCTCCTTGTGATTGTTTTCCCAAGCAAGGAGCCAAAGAACTAAATAACAATGTACCAAGAGGCTGGACCTGACACTTTAGTGTGTCTGGATTTCTTTGGACAAGAGCACACCAAGAACTGAGAGCAGACTGCCACCCTGACACTATCTCTCGCTATATACAAATATCAGCACAAAATAAATCATACACTTAAACATAAGACCCAAAACTATAAAACTACTAGAAGAAAAGAAAAAAAAAATATATATATATATAAAAAAACAAACAAACAAACAAAAAAAAAACTACTAGAAGAAAACATATTGGACATGCTTCAGGACATTGGTCTAGGCAAGGAATTTATGCGTAAGACTACAAAAGCATAGGCAACACAAAGAAAAATAGATAAATACGACTATATTAGACTAAAGAGCTTTTGCATAGAAAATGAAGCAATCAACAGAGTAAAGAGAAAACCTGTAGAATGGAAGAAAATATTTGTAAATGATCCATTGACTATGGTTTGAATATGTGTCCCCTCCAAAAGTCATGTTGAAATTTAATCTCCAATGTGGCAGTATTGACAGGTGAGATCTTTAAGAAGTGATTGGGTCATGAGAGCCCTGCCCTCATGAAGGGATTAATCCATTCATAAATTAATGGATTAAGAGGTTAATGGATTAATGGGTTATTGTGGGCAGAGAACTTGTGGCTTTATAAGAGGGAGAGAAACCTTAGCTAGCAGGTTAGCATGCTCAGCACCCTCACCATATTGTACCCTGCACCACCTCAGGACTTCATTGTGAGTGCCCACTAGCAAGAGGGCTCTCACCTTATGTAGCTTCTCAACCTTGGACTTCTCAGCTGCCAGAACTATAAGGAATAAATTCCTTTTCTTTATAAATTACCCAGTCTCAGGTGTTCTGTTATAAGCAACAGAAAACAGATTAAGACATTATGCAATAAGGGACTAATACCCAGAATATACAAGGAGCTTAACTCCACAGCATGCGTTCTCTTAGCCTGTAAGGTCTATAAGGTCTCTGCCGAGATATCTCCTGTTAGGCTTATTGAAACACCCTTATTTATATGCTTCTTTTCTCTTGCTGCTTTCAGAATCCTGTCTTGGTCTTTGATTTTTGACAGTTTCATTATAATATGTTTAGCTGTAGTCCTATTTGGATTGCATCTGATTGGAGACTTCTGACCTTCCTGTACAAGGACATTTATATCTTTCCAAATATGGAGTTTTTTCTGTAATTATTTCCTTAAATAAGCTTTCTATCATTTTGTCCTTTTCTCCTTCATGAATTTCTATAACGGAAATATTGACTCTTTGGATGCTGTACCATAAATATTAGGCTTTCTTCATTTCTTTTCATTATTTTTTCCTCCTCTAGCTGTATATTTTAAAATAATAATTCTTTGAGTTCTTCTGTTTGATCAGTTTTGCTTTAATGCTTCCTATTGCATTTTTCATTTAATTAAAAATTTTTTTTCAGCTCAAGAATATCTGTTAGATTTTTTAAACTGATTTCTCCACCTAGGTAGAGATCTAGAAGAGTTATTTCTAGATATTTCCTAGAAATACATTTCCTCTATAATTCTTATGGTTTTGTGCCTTACATTTAAGTCTTTATCCGTCTTGAATTAATTTTTGTGAGTGGCAAGAGATGGGGGTCCTGTTTTGCATGTGGCTATCCAATTTTCCCAGCACAATTTATTGAATAGGGCTTCATTTCCCTAGCATGTGTTGTCTGCTTCGTCAAAGATCAGTCGGCTGTAGGTAGATGGTTTTATATCTGGGTTCCCTATGCTGTTCCATTGGTCTGTGTCTCTATTGTTTTTTTTTTAACAATACCATATTGTTTTAGTTACTATAGCCTTATAGAATAGTTTGAAGTCTGGTAATGTGATGACTCCAGATTTGTTCTTTTAGTTTAAGATTGCTTTGGCTATTCAGGCTCTTTTCTGGTCCCAAATAAAGTGTAGACTTAATTTTTCTAGATCTGTGAAAAATATTCAATTTCCTCTAATTTTAAGACCACCCTGCATGGGAGTCTGATACAGGGAAGTGCTATTTGAAGAGAATGGTTTTTTTCTTTGTTAGAGTTTCAATTTAATTAATTAATTAATTTAGAGGAAATTGAGTACTATTCTGTCACCCTTTTTTCTAATACTGAACTTGTATGAATCAGACTTTATCCCTTTCATATCAGATCCCAGTTCTGCTTGGTATAAGACTTTGGCTCCATGCTCAGAAGGGAAGCTGTTGCCGGGCGTGGTGGCTCACGCCTGTAATCCTAGCACTTTGGGAGGCCGAGGCGGGCGGATCGCTCAAGGTCAGGAGTTCGAAACCAGCCTGAGCGAGACCCCGTCTCTACCAAAAATAGAAATAAATTAATTGACCAACTAAAAATATATATACAAAAAATTAGCCGGGCATGGTGGTGCATGCCTGTAGTCCCAGCTACTCAGGAGGCTGAGGCAGTAGGATCGCTGAGCCCCGGAGATTGAGGTTGCTGTGAGCCAGGCTGACGCCACGGCACTCACTCTAGCCTGGGCAACAAAGTGAGACTCTCTAAAAAAAAAAAAAAAAAAGAAGGGAAGCTGTTAAAGAAAAAAAAAAGACTGGCTCCTTTCTTGCATTCTGGTTTAGTGCTTCTTTGATAATTTTATGCTGCCATCTGGTGGCTAGATCAGAAAGTGCATGACTTTTTTCTTTTTTGTTGGTCTTTGTTTAGCAGAGTAGAGGACACACAGATTAACAAAGTGACAAACCTAGAGTTAGAATAATCTGAATCTCTGATTTCTTCTTGTTGTGTGCCATGCCTTTAGGAGCCCAAAGTAAAGTATGCTTACACAGCTAGGGCACAGAAAATATGCATCTAACATTCCCATTTGGGTCCAACTCTGACTAGCTAATTGAATTTAAGTAAGTCACTTTTCCTTCTAGTGTCTCGGTTTCCACACCTATGATCCTAACGGGTTTATAAAACGGAGCCAACCAGTAGTGAACGTAAAGATAAGGTCTGGAAGGGGAGGAAGTGAAGTGGAAGATTGAGGCCTGGTTTGGGAGGGGAGTAAATAAAGCCTGAAGATGATAAATGGCAGCAGGGCTGCTCCAGGGCACACAGTACCCTAGGCAAATATTTTTGGAGAGTCCCTTTCTATATAGACAGTTTGATTAAAAGTATACTAAGGCTAGGTGCGGTGGCTCAGCTGTAATCCTAGCACTCTGGGAGGTTGAGACAGGAGGATCGCTCAAGGTCAGCAGTTCGAGACAAGCCTGAGCAAGAGCAAGACCCCATCTCTACTATAAATAGAAAGAAATTAGCCAGACAACCAAAAATAGAAAAAAATAGCAGGGCATGGTGGCGCATGCCTGTAGTCCCAGCTACTCGGGAGGCTGAGGCAGGAGGATGGCTTGAGCCCAGGAGTTTGAGGTTGCTGTTAGTTAGGCTGACACCACAGCACTCTAGCCCGGGCAACAGAGTGAGACTGTGTCTCAAAAAAAAAAAAAAAGTGTTTTAAAAAATCCTGGGCCCATGTGAAGTATAGTGATTTATCAATGAAGATTTAGAATAGTGGATGGAGAAGAGCACTTACATATTTGCTTATTCAACAGTTCATGTGAAAATTCTTCATAATGTCCTTGCAGAATCCCTTCCTTTTCTGGTCCAGAAATCATCCATTTGTGTTAGTGATTGTCAAATTCACCATTTCTGTTTAATCTCATGCAATGGCTCTTTGGAACCTGTTTGTATTGAAACAATGTAGATTTCTTCTGCAGTTTGTTTAGCCTAAGGGTCAACAGTAGACCATGGTGGCCCATAGCTCTGAACATGCCGTGTTCAAAGTGTCACCCCAAATCGTCATGTCAGCACCATTTTGGGTACTTAATCTAATGAGTTCCGTGAAGAAAAAAATACAATGACAGCCAATGAGAGTGATCTGCTAGCCTGGCCTACCACCTTGAACCAGGGCCTGTGGCCACAGAAACGCAGGGCAAGGATATGGCTAATGAACACACAGCCCATCGATGGTTCCAGAAGTTCTGTTCTGGTGATTTCAATCTTGACCATGAGCCACGTCAGCGACCTGAAACCAAGATGGAGAACAATGAGCTGAAAGCTGCAGTGGAAGTGTATTCATCTCAACCTACACATAAATTATCAGCAAAGTTTGCCAAGCTCGATGGATGAATTCCACATGAATTAAACAAGTGTCAAGAGAAATTGTGATACAAAGGCAAACCATTTCTACACCGAATTGGGATGTGTGATGATAAATGGATTTGTTTTGATAATCCCGAGTGTTGGATAAAGATGAAGTGATGAAACACGGTCCAAAACCCATTATTCATCAAGAAAGGTAATGGTGCCTCTTTGGTAGTCCGGCACTGGTATCATCCACTACAGTTTCAAAAAGCCTGGTCAATTGAATATGGCGGATGTCCACTACAACCTATTGGATGAAATGATGAGCACGCTTGTGATTAAGCAGCCAAGATTGGTCAATAGAGATAGGCCAATCCTCTTGTAAGACAACCCTCAACCACCTGCTCAAACTACAGAAGGTAGACTTGGAAACTCGTCATACGCCATATTGGTTAGAACTTGCCGCCAACTGACTACTTCAACACTTTGGACCACTTGTAAGGAAAAATGTTCAATTTTCAACGGGCTGCAGAAAACCCCATTTTGCAATTTCATTGTCCATGGTTGAGGCACATACTTTGACTAATCGTACTTTTTGTTGTGCGAGTTATAATGAACTATACTTTTGATTCAATGTCAGACATGCCGTATCTCACCACTTCATTACGGCACTAACGGCCGCGAAACCTTGCCCGCAGCCGGCACTCGTAGTCGGCAAGATAGTTTGTGCCGCGCACTGACGACGAAGCCGTTTTGCTTTTGTGTGATGAGGAAAGCTTGAAAGCACTGAAAACTTGTTTTACTTTACAGGCAGCTTTACTTGTAATGTAAATCAGAATAGGTAACATATACATATATGTTTTTATTATGTTATTTTTAAATGTTCACAATTTTATTTTGATAAATGAAAAATTCGCAAAGTCATCACAGCTGTCGGCTAAAGTCGTCGTACACGTTCATCTGTAGCTATGGACTATAGTAGATGCTTGTCCCAAAGTGGTTAATGGCCTAATGCCGAGTTTGCATTCTGCCGCGTGCCGCTGCTCAAACTACAGAAGGTGGACTTGTTAACTCGTCATCCGCCATATTGGTTCTACCTTGCCGCCAACTGACTACTTCTTCACACTTTGGACCACTTGAAAGGAAAAATGTACAATTTTCAACAGGCTGTGGAAAACCCTTTTTGCAATTTCATTGCCGATGGTTGAGGCACATATTTTGATTAACCCTACTTTTTGTTGTGTGAGTTATAATGAACTGTACTTTTGATTTGATGTTAGACATTCCGTATTTAATGACCTAATGCTGAGTTTGCATTCGACCACGTGCCGCTTCTCAAATCAGAAGGTGGACTTGTTAACTCCTCAGCCGCCATATTGGTTCGACCTTGCGGCAAACTGAATGCCGCTTCTTCGGCAAACTGAATGCCGCTTCTTCGGCAAACTGAATGCCGCTTCTTCGGCAAACTGAATGCCGCTTCTTCGGCAAACTGAATACAGCTTCTTCGACACTTTGGACCACTTTTAAGGAAAAATGTTCAATTTTCAACAGACTGTGGAAAACCCTTTTTGCGATTTTGTTGTTGATGGTTGAGGCACATATACTTTGATTAATCCTACTTTTTGTTGTGTGAGTTATAATGAACTATATTTTATTTTATTTTTTTATTTTTATTTTTTTTATTTCAGCGTATTATGGGGGTATGAACTATACTTTTGATTTGATGTCAGACATTCCACATTTAATGACCAAATACTTAGTTTCCATTGTTTCTCTCCCATTCTCTATTATGTCTCCGGTAAACAATATAGGACACTTTATGAGATTAATTGCATTGAAATAGCCAGTTTTCTGGGGGACAGCTTTGGTTTTTATATGAGCACTTTTCCTACTGATTACTGCCAATGGATACACATCACTACTGTTCCATCATGTTTGGTCCAATGTTAGTGTCATCAGATTCATAGAGGAAGTAGGAAAATAGTAAAGATTAAGGATTCAACGTTTAAAAATTACAGACAGGTCAAAAACAGGACTACTTCTTGATTATTTAGGAACCAAGTAGCCATTTGTGAAATGCCTTTCTTTCCTTCTTCCATCATGTTCACCAGTTGACCCATAAGCACTTCCATTCTCTTATGATCTGGGACCTGACTCTGAAACATGGTGTGTGACCTCATGTATATTATGTATGTATAACCTTTATAGGATTGTGCTTTATTAATCCTTCACTAATACATTAGATAATGGGAGGGCAAGTCCTTTGAAGATGGTTTTAACCTCAGGCTATTACAGCTTGTCTGGCTTCTTTGATTCTAAAGTTTGGTGGTGTTACACATTCCGGTCTGAAGGGGATATTTGGATACTTTATTAACATAACAAACCTCTACCTGCCCCACCCTTCAAACTCAAAGCCAAAGTCCATTAACTTATTTGCATTTGTTATACATTTTGCGGAAATTTTTGCAGGAGGTATCTGATGATTTAATGTGTATTCTCTGTTTTGCAAATGAGCACTTAGAAACCCATTATAGTTATTCCTGGACTAGAGGTGAAGTCTTCCTGGTGCTTAATGTTGTTTCTAGTATGTTATTGACTTCTCAAATTTTTCCTTTTTTTTGTCATTTTGTAATTTTTAACGTTCTTTTTATCCGCAAATTACTTTTAATTTTTTAGGCTCCGCCTCTAGTGCCTTCCCCACCCCCACCTTTCCCTCAGTTCTTAAAGCGCTGCAATTCTCTGCTGCAGCCATATTCTCCTTCTCCCTAGAATGTTAGCTTCCTGACCGAAGATCTCTTTGCATTTTGGGGCTCTTTTGGAACATTTTCCAACACCCCAACACCCCTTATGGTGTATTTCTTTGAAAAAAAGTCATCAAAATTCCATAAAATATTTTAAAAATTCTATGCTTTCTCTTAGGAGTTTCTTGACAGTTCCTCCATATTTTTTTGGTATTTGGAGTATTTTTAGGCAATTTTTAATTTTTATAGAATTTTTTCTTTGGAATGACTTGGTTGACACCTTTTATTTGTGATTTAGTATTCCAAGGGTGTCCCCTTTTTCTATATTTGGCCCATCGGGGCTGCGGATATCTAGTTTCATTATTGTTTTTTCTTTGCCCAACGGGGCTGTGGATACCTGCCTTTTAATTCTTTTTCTTTTTTAAAATTTGCCCATCGGGGCAGTGGATACCTGCTTTTTATTTTTTTTTTTTCCCCCTTAGCCCATGGGGCAGTGGATGTGTCCACGCGCCCCCCCCCCCAACTCCTCTCTGGCTGATCGGGGCAACGGATACCTGGTTTTTAAAAATCTTTGTTTTTGGCCCATCGGGGCTTCGGATACCTGCTTTTATTGTTTTTTTCCCTTGCCCATCGGGGCCTTGGATACCTGCTTTTATTATTTTTTTTTTCCTTGCCCATCGGGGCCTCGGATACCTGCTCTCATTTTTTTTTTCCATCGCCCATCGGGGCTTCCCATGGATGAAAGGCGTTGGTTTCCTGGGCTGTTGCAGTATCTGGAATAGCTACGCATTTTTTTGCTGCTGATCCGTTGGTGGTGTGTGAGTGTACCCACGGCTTTGACAGGAGAATGACTTCGCAGTTATGCTATGGCGCCGTTCAGGTTCTGGAGGAAACGTGGCCGCCATTTTAGACTCGCCTCCTAAGTCGGCTTAGGAGTTGTTTGTGCTGAGTCTGAACTAGGGTGGCAAGATGGATGACAGAGGCAGTCATGTGCGTCGCAGGAGCTAGACGCGTTTGAATGAGCTAATCTGGGGTCTGGTAGGAGCTTTGCCTGCTTTGCATAGGGAGGCAAAGAAACAGGATCTCATCTAGCGGGAGCTAGGTGAAAAGGAGAGAGTTTCGAGAAGAGTTCCGCTCAGGGCTTAAAATGGCGGTTTTGACATTGCCGCATTGCTCAGCATGGCAGGCTGTGCTTTGTCCAAGATGGCGGATCCAGTTCTGCCGCAGTGTTCAAGTGGCGGGAAGGCCACAGCAGGCTGAGGGAGGCTTTGTTCCTGCGCATAGCATGCAGTGGACATGTGCGATCCCATAGTAAAAGATGGCGGCTGAAGGACTCGCCGCAGTGTACAACGTGGTGGTCCCCTTTGTCTGGGCTGCGTGCTTTCCACGTTGCCTCTCGCAGCAGGGATGCTATGGCAGACTTCATTATGTTAATATCATGGCTTTTGCCACCTGGACGTCACAGCGGGTGTCCCTTTAGTCTGATCTTGGCGGACTTGCCGCATTGTTAAAGATGGCGTGCTTGCCGCTTATTGCCGCACACAGGAGACCGGGAGAAACGGTGGGACGGACGGTGTTCGATTGCCGCATGGCCCATCCAATGAGAAATGTGGGTGGAATTGGTCACAGTCAGTTAGAGCAGATGGACATTTGGTTTTCCACCTCCCTCCCATCTCCTTAGTCCCTTCCGGTCCCGCATTGCCTCCTGCAGTGCTGGATGTCCCGCTGTGAAATGTGAACCACATCCGATTCCTTTGTATTGGTGCCATGGCCTGAGGCTAGTCTTCTCCCGCCACCCAGCTAGTCTTCTCTGCACTGTGTGGAGATGGCGGTGAGCCATGGCGAGGACAAGAGTGGATCACAGATGATCATTGCCCAACAGGTGGGAGAAGAATAATTCCTGCCTTCCTCCAGAGGAACACCTACCCCGTGGCTAATGCTGGGGTCGGATTTTGATTGATATTTATCTTTTGGATCTCAGTGATATAGTCTGATCGTGTGATTTGCTGCTGTTTGAATTTAAGTCTTAAGTGACTATTATAGAAATGTATGTACCGGCTTCAATTACATTTCATGCGTTTTCATTTGGGGTTTTAAAAAATTGAAGTTTCCAGTTTCTCTCTAAATGCCTTAATCTCGTTATGTTTTTTGATGGTAGCTATTGAAAGTTAAATCGTTCGGCATTTTAAAAAAAAGCTGCTGACTATTTTCTTTGAGATTAGCTTAACGAACTATTTACCTTTGGCTTTTTGAAGAATTTGGTATCATATAAACAGTTAATTAAATGTTTAACTTAGTTACTGAATGTAAAAAAGAGTATCGGAAGGTCTACACTGGTCCAGGCCTTGCTTTGTTTCCATCCTTGATAGTGCTGCACTAGTTGACTTATGACCTACCTATTCAGGCTTATTCGAGTATTAATGGCCACATTTTAATTTTCCGTGGTACCCTGCCTAGCCCTGGCCCTTCCCCAGCCCCTAATGCCCCAGCCCCAGCCCCGGCCCCGGCCCCGGCCCAAGCCCCGGCCCCAGCCCCAGCCCGAGCCCGAGTCACAGTCCGCTAACCCCCGGCTCCTGCCCCGGCCCCGGCCCCAGCCCCCGCCCGCACCGCCCAGCCCCAGCCCCAGCCCCTGAGCCCCAGTCCGGCTTCTTTCGAAAGCCATGTTAATTTTCACTGATTCAGCGCTCAAAATAGTCTGTTAATCCCATTAAAATGGGATATTCTACCTACCTCTGGCATTGCCGATCTTCAGTGCTGATGACTAGTTAAAATTAAGGATTCCTGCGTATCGGCATTATTGCCTATAGTTTGAGTTACTCATCTTCTCAGTCTCTTGCCGGTAAGGAAGGAGAAGCCATTCTTCCGTCATTGCTGCTGCAGTCACAGTCCCAATTTTCTGAGTAGTGCTTAGCGACAATTTCTTATATTGTGTTGTCCACCCAAAATTTTTTGTATTAAAGTGAAATTCTAATTGCCGGTAATCGTGCCCATTGAATTAAACTCCGGTCCGAACCTCATTTGCATTTATCCTGAGGGCAAATACAACTTAAGTCATTTGTTGGACAGTTAAGTGCTCCGTTCCAGCCTCGTCTATTAAACAAAGGCACCCTCATACTCTTTTAAAGTCCTGCTGTTCTTGAACAATTAAAGAATTAAATTAGTAATTATTCGTTCCTTCATCTATTCATTACAAGTATTTCCACTTCCCTTTTCATTTGCTCTGAGGCAGTGCCAGCTACCTGACACCACATTTCTTAAATTCTTGAGCAGAATCTATTGTCCATAGTCCTGCTCAGTACACCAGGGCCCTTTGCAACTTTTTTGCACAACAGCAGAGATGCTCATTTTCAAAGCCCCTTTCCCTTGGGATATTAATGGCTATAATCATAATTGTTCATGGTTCTATCTAACAGAAACCTCTACCTCTATGCCATTGTTGCTGAATTCTTAACTACCCACGGTCCCTTCTCTTAAACAGCTGATATGCATAATTGCATATACCTTGGCTCTGTGCAATAAGAAATGGATTCTCATCCCATCGCACCCTCTGTGAAATGTTGCTAGAGAATGCAAATTATTCAAGAACCCAGCTCTTGGACAGTTAATCAGCACAGTTGCAATTGTCCAGAGTCCTGTCCATTAGAAAGGGCCGCTGTATTTTATTTGCATGCTATATATAATGTGGGCTGATCACCCAAGGCCACTTCTCTTGAATTAATGATGTCCATAATTGCATTTGTCCAAGATCTTGTGTACTGGCTTCATCCACTCTCTTTGTAATTCCAGCAGGGTGTTCTTACTACTCAAGACCTCTGCACTGGATAGTTTATATGCATAATCTTGATTGATTAGAACTGAGTCTTTTATATCAGGATCCTCTTGCTGTATATAAAGAGGGTGCTGATTACCTAATGGCCCTCCTTAAATTACTGAAGTGCAGAACTACAATTGTCCTGTTTCCCATTAGTATGAGATTGCATTCCCTCATACTCCTTTTCCCTCACTGCCCCTACTTGGGATTGTAAATGTGCATAATTGTAATTTCTCCCTTTGATTAAACTAAGATCCCACCTACTCACACCTTCTTAGCATTACCGTAGAGGGTGTTAACCGCTAAAGAAAGCCCTGCCTTTTGTACTGTTAATGTGCACAGTAGCATGTGTTCCTCTTTCTGTGTACTAATAAAAAACCTCACTCACTTCCCTTGATTTCAGCAGTGGATAATAACCTCTGTTGAAGATCTTTGCTGAGGGATAGTTAACATGAACTATGGTAATTGATCATAGCTGTCTTTCAGATCTGTTCCACTACACACTCCTTATTTTACAGCAAGGGATATTAATTACTTTCATTACTTTTTCCTGGGACTGTGAATGTTAAAAATTCAAATATTCATTGTCCCTCCCCCCTTTGAACTAATGCCCCACTCCTTTTATATTAAAGCAAGGGATGCTGGTGACCCAAAGTCTTTCTCTTGAGACTCTTATTGTGTATATTTCCAATTGGCATGACTTTTAATCTCCATATTTCCAGTGGTCTGTGGGCTCTCCTAATAAGCTAGTATTGTAACAGGGGGTACGGATGCTTAAAGTTTTTCTCTTGCACTGTTAAGGTGCAAAATTGCTCTAGGATTCCACCCCCTCAAACCTCATTTGCATAAAAGCAGGAGCAGCTATGGCTGCTTTTCCTGTACTGATTAAATGCGCATAATTTACAGTAGTTGATGAGCTCTTAGAATGAAATCCCATTTCCTCGTGCCATTTGCATTACTGCAGGAGCTTCTAAATAACTAAGATTCACTCTAATGCATACTTCCATTTCCTCCTGTACTTTTATACCAGATGAGGACCTCACCCACTCTGTTTGCATTCCAACAGGAGGTAATTACTACTCACGACCCTAAGACTAGTAAAGTTAATGTGCACAATCTTAGTTGTCTTCTTGTACAGGCTTTTAGTTGTCCACAATTATGCATTTTAGATCAGAACTCCTGTACTTATCAAAGCAGAGTGTTAACAAACATAAAGCCCTTGTTTTGCGACTGCACATGTACGTAATTGCGGTGTCAATGATCCTTCACATCCTCTTGCTTTATTGCATGGAGTACTGTTTAGTTAAGGCGCCTTTTTGAAACTGTTAATGTGCCTAATGAAAATTCCATTAGGAGCCCTCCCCTTCACACTCCCTTTGAAGTACAGCAGAGATGCTGACCGCTAAGGCTTCGCCTTTTTGCTTGTTAAGATGTGTGACTAGCCGGGCGCGGTGGCTCACGCCTGTAATCCTAGCACTCTGGGAGGCTGAGGCGGGCGGATTGCTGGAGGTCAGGAGTTCAAAACCAGCCTGAGCAAGAGCGAGACCCCGTCTCTACTATAAATAGAAAGAAATTAATTGGCCAACTAATATATTATAATACTATACTACAATTAGCTGGGCATGGTGGCACATGCCTGTAGTCCCAGCTACTCGAGAGGCTGAGGCAGAAGGATTACCTGAGCCCAGGAGTTTGAGGTTGCTGTGAGCTAGGCTGACGCCACAGCACTCGCTGTAACCTGGGCAACAAGTGAGACTCTGTCTCAAAAAAAAAAAAAAAAAAAAATTGTGTGACTGTATTTGTCCAGGTTCCTATGCACTAGATAAGGAAGATCTTCCCCCATCCCCCACCTTTCCCTTCCAGCAGGGAGTGCTTACTCTATAAGACCCTTATGTTTGGGCAGTCAAGGTGCACTTACAATTGTAAGTGACCACAGCCATGCACCTTGGGCATTAATGTGCTTAACTGCACACGGCTCATCCCATTTGAGCAAGATCCTACTCTCAGACCCCTTTGTAATACAGCAGGGGTGCTGATCACCAAGCCACTTTTCGTGGCATCTTATGTGGGCAATTGTATTTATTGGGGTTTCTGTGCACTAGATAAGGAAGCCTCCCCTACCCCATCCCCCCACTCCCAATCTTCCTTTCCCTTCCAGTAGGGGGTGCTCACTGCATAAGAGTCTTATGTTTGGACAGTCAAGGTGCACAATTGTAAGTCACCACAGCCATGCACCTTGGGCATTAATGTGCTTAACTGCACACGGCTCATCCCATTTGAGCAAGATCCTACTCTCAGACCCCTTTGTAATACAGCAGGGGTGCTGATCACCAAGCCCCTTTTCTTGGCCTCTTATGTGGGCAATTGTATTTATTGGGGTTTCTGTGCACTAGATAAGGAACCTCCCCTACCTCATCCCCCACTCCCAATCTTCCTTTCCCTTCCAGTAGGGGGTGCTCACTGCATAAGATTCTTATGTTTGTACAGTCAAGGTGCACAATTGTAAGTCACCACAGCCATGCACCTTGGGCATTAATGTGCTTAACTGCACACGGCTCATCCCATTTGAATAAGATCCTACTCTCAGACCCCTTTTGTAGTACAGCAGGGGTGCTGATCACCAAGGCCTCTTTTCTTGGCCTCTTATGTGGATAATACTGGTTTGAGTTCCTGTGTACTAGACAGGAAGCCTCCCCTACCCCATCCCCCCACTCCCAGTCTTCCTTTCCCTTCCAGTAGGGGGTGCTCACTGCATAAGATTCTTATGTTTGGACAGTCAAGGTGCACAATTGTAAGTCACCACAGCCATGCACCTTGAACATTACTGTGCTTAACTGCACACGGCTCATCCCATTTGAGCAAGGTCCTACTCTCAGACCCCTTTGTAATACAGCAGGGGTGCTGATCACCAAGCCACTTTTCGTGGCATCTTATGTGGGCAATTGTATTTATTGGGGTTTCTGTGCACTAGATAAGGACCACCCCTACCCCATCCCCCACTCCCAATCTTCCTTTCCCTTCCAGTAGGGGGTGCTCACTGCATAAGAGTCTTATGTTTGGACAGTCAAGGTGCACAATTGTAAGTCACCACAGCCATGCACCTTGGGCATTAATGTGCTTAACTGCACACGGCTCATCCCATTTGAGCAAGATCCTACTCTCAGACCCCTTTGTAATACAGCAGGGGTGCTGATCACCAAGCCCCTTTTCTTGGCCTCTTATGTGGGCAATTGTATTTATTGGGGTTTCTGTGCACTAGATAAGGAAGCCTCCCCTACCCCATCCCCCCACTCCCAATCTTCCTTTCCCTTCCAGTAGGGGGTGCTCACTGCATAAGATTCTTATGTTTGGACAGACAAGGTGCCACATTGTAAGTGACCACAGCCATGCACCTTGGCATTAATGTGCTTAACTGCACACGGCTCATCCCATTTGAGCAAGATCCTACTCTCAGACCCCTTTGTAGTACAGCAGGGGTGCTGATCACCAAGGCCCCTTTTCTTGGCCTCTTATGTGGGCAATTGTATTTATTGGGGTTTCTGTGCACTTGATAAGGAAGCCTCCCCCACCCCACCCAACCCCACTCCCAATCTTCCTTTCCCTTCCAGTAGGGGGTGCTCACTGCATAAGATCCTTATGTTTGGGCAGTCAAGGTGCACAATTGTAAGTGACCACAGCCATGCACCTTGGGCATTAATGTGCTTAACTGCACACGGCTCATCCCATTTGAATAAGATCCTATTCTCAGACTCCTTTTGTAGTACAGCAGGGGTGCTGATCACCAAGGCCCCTTTTATGTGGAATATACTGGTCTGAGTTCCTGTGTACTAGACAGGAAGCCTCACCCCACCCCAAATCTTCCTTTCCCTTCCAGCAGGCAGTGCTCACTCTATAAGATCCTTATGTTTGGACAGTCAAGGTGCACAATTGTAAGTGACCACAGCCATGTACCTTGAACATTAAGTGTGCTAAACTGTACACTGCTCATCCCATTTGAATAAGATCCTACTCTCAGACCCCTTTTGTAGTACAGCAGGGGTGCTGATCACCAAGCCGCTTTTCTTGGCCTGTTATGTGGGCAATTATATGTATTGGGGTTTCTGTGCACTAGATAAGGAAGCCTCCCCTACCCCATCCCCCCACTCCCAATCTTCCTTTCCCTTCCAGTAGGGGGTGCTCACTGCATAAGATTCTTATGTTTGGACAGTCAAGGTGCACAATTGTAAGTGACCACAGCCATGCACCTTGGGCATTAATGTGCTTAACTGCACACAGCTCATCCCATTTGAATAAGATCCTACTCTCAGACCCCTTTTGTAGTACAGCAGGGTGCTGATCACCAAGGCCTCTTTTCTTGGCCTCTTATGTGGATAATACTGGTTTGAGTTCCTGTGTATTAGACAGGAAGCCTCCCCTACCCCACCCCATCCCCAATCTTCCTTTCCCTTCCAGCAGGCAGTGCTCACTCTATAAGATCCTTATGTTTGGACAGTCAAGGTGCACAATTGTAAGTGACCACAGCCATGCACCTTGGGCATTAATGTGCTTAACTGCACACGGCTCATCCCATTTGAATAAGATCCTATTCTCAGACCCCTTTTGTTAGTACAGCAAGGGGTGCTGATCACCAAGGCCCTTTTCTTGGCCTTTATGTGGAGTATACCTGGTCTGAGTTCCTGTGTACTAGACAGGAAGCCTCCCCACCACCCACCCCAATCTTCCTTTCCCTTCCAGTAGGGGGTGCTCACTGCATAAGATTCTTATGTTTGGACAGTCAAGGTGCACAATTGTAAGTGACCACAGCCATGCACCTTGGGCATTAATGTGCTTAACTGCACACGGCTCATCCTATTTGAATAAGATTCTACTCTCAGACCCCTTTTGTAGTACAGCAGGGTGTGATCACCAAGGCCCTTTTTCTTGGCCTCTTATGTGGATAATACTGGTTTGAGTTCCTGTGTACTAGACAGGAAGCCTCCCACCCCACCCCACCCCCAATCTTCCTTTCCCTTCCAGCAGCAGTGCCACTGCATAAAACCCTTATGTTGTGGACAGACAAGGTGCACAATATAAGTGACCACAGCCATGCACCTTGGGCATTAATGTGCTTAACTGCACATGGCTCATCCTATTTGAGCAAGATCCTACTCTCAGACCCCTTTTGTAGTACAGCAGGGGTGCTGATCACCAAGGCCCCTTTACTTGGCCTGTTATGTGGAGGATACTGGTCTGAGTTCCTCTGTACTAGACAGGAAGCCTTCTCCCACCCCACCCCCCCCACCCCACCCCTATTCTTCCTTTCGCTTCCAGCAGGAAGTGCCCACTCCATAAGATCCTTATGTTTGGACAGTTAAAGTGCACAACTGAAGTGGCCCCAACCTTACACCTTGAACGTTAATGTGCTTAACTGCACTTGGTGCATCTCATTTGAACAAGGTTCTACTCTCTGACCCCTTTTGCAGTACAGCAGGGGTGTCGATCACTAAGGCTTCTTTCTTTGGCTTGTTCATATTCCTATGTACTAGATAAGGACACTCTCCCTCCCACTCCCTTTGGTTTTAAGCAGGGAATGCCCACTACTTTAAGATCCTTATATTTGTACAAAGTATGTGGTTTTGATGACCACCACCATGTCCCTTGGACATTAATTGTGATGTGGTTCATCCTGTTTAAGCAAAGTCCTATCCTCTTGCCCTCCATTTGCAGTTTATCGGAGGTGCTGACCCCTAGGTCCCCTTTTCTTTGGCTGTTAATGTACATAATTGCATTTACCTGGGATCTTGTGCACTGGACAAGGACACTCCACTTCTGACTGCCTAGTATGGGTAGGGGGAGTGTGGCCTTCTGATTTCAAGATTGTTATTTTTTAAGGACCAAAGGAGGCAGGAAAAGCTTCATCTTTCTCTGTACCCCTTTTTAATAAAAGGATTTGTTCTATAAAATTTGGATTCAGTCAAAAGACTTCACTTCAGGACCTTTACATTTGAACATTTGTGCATAATTGCAGTTGTTCACAACCCTGTAACTTTCAGGACCATTGTACCTCCTTTGCATTACTGCAAGGGGTACTGTTTTCCTCCAAGGCCCCTTGTAGTGGACTGTTAACGTACATAATTGAAATTTTCTTTTTTCTTCATCACTAAACTAAGGTCACACACCTTAACCTTTCCTTTGCAGTACAGCAGGGTGTGCGGATCAACCAAGGCCCTATTCTTTGGGACTGTTAATATGTGCAGTTGCATTAGCTCCTGTTTTGTGCACTAGATAAGGAGCCCACCTACTTTCTTAACATTTTCAGTAGGTAGTGCCCACTACTCAGACTCTTTCACTTGGAAAGTTCACGTGAACAAACATGATTTTCTAATCATGTCTTACACCAGCACCCTTCCTGTACCCTCCTTGCTTTAGAATAGGGGATGTTGTTCACCTAGTGCCCCTTTGGACTTTAATGTGCATTAATGCAAGTCCCTATCTCTTGTTTTGGACCAGGATTTTATCTCCTCATAGCTCCTTTGGGTTAGGGGCATATTAACTATGAATGAGCCCTTCTCTGTTGAATATTAATGTGCATAATTGTATTTGTCTGTGGACCTGTATAGTAAAAAAGGACCCTGTGCGCCTGCCACTGCCTTTTTGATTGCTGCTGAGGAGTGCTAACTGTTCATAACCTCAGCTCCTGGATAATTAATATGCAAAAAATAACAGTTAGCAAGAGCACTGATCATTATATGGGGGCCTGGCATCCTCTTTGCATATATCATGGGTACTGACCAACTAAGGCCTCTTGGACCGGTGATGTGAATATTTGCAATTATACATGCCCGTTTCTGTGAAACTGGGATATCATGCCCTCACATCCCCTTTGCATTACTGCAGGGGCTGCTTCCTACCCAAAACTTCTCCTGGGACTGTTAATAGACACAATGGCAATTATCAGTGATTTCTTCCTTTCCTAAAACTTTTCTGGGACTATTAATAAGCACAATGGCAATTATCGATGGTTTTTTTTTCCCTCCCTGGCCTAATGAAGCAAATATCCCTCACCCCCAGTTTTCCATGGCATAATAAAGTATAAACATTGCAATGTGCCATGCACTTGTCCATCCAACAACGGCCCATACCCCCACTCCTTTTGTATTACTCCAGTGTATAAAATCCTGGGTAGCCATGGTCTCACCCTTCATACAAGATCTTCCCTTTCCCTGCCCCTGTCTGCCCTTGGCCCCTTCTTAATGCTCACAATCTCAGTTGTCCCTATATCCAGCCTTTAAATAAGACTGTGCTCCCTCTCTCCCCACTTCTTCCTGGTCCCGGCCCTTTGGCCTCTTTGCTGGGTAATGTTGACTGACCAAAGCCCTTTTTCTTGAACTTAAAAAAGTTAACAATCTCAGACATCATTGGTTTACCCACTTTGTATTGCTGTAATGTCGCAGTTGCACTTTCCTTCATCCTGCCCATTAAGAACCCCTTTATTTCCTTGGCATTGCTTCTGAGTAGTGCCGACTACCCAAAGCCCTCTCTGTATTGTTTAATGGTCACGGTACTAATTGTGCCATTTTGAAGCCCAGCAGTCCAAGGTCTCCCTACCACTTTGGTGGTCTTTGTGCAGTGTTGACTATCAAAAGCAGGCCTGAACTAGGTGAATGAACCTTAACTCTTTTTCTTTCATTTGTTAATATCTCAATTTAAATTATAGTCACATTCTGGGGACAGGAAATATTCCTGTCCACCTCTGCTATTGCTTTGCTATGCAAAATACTCAAGGCAAGTCAGGCCCAGGAAGCTGGGTTGCTGCCCTTTATTTTGTTTTTAATAGATAGTATCGAATTGTCTCTCCAGCAAGGAAGGTTAGCACTTTTTCTGCATTCTTCCTTTAAGAGGAGATTGCCTGGTTGAAAATCTCTCCTTGTCTCTTTTGTATATTGCTATTGTATGGTGCCAGTTGCTAGTATACAACCAGAAAAGTTGCTGTTGATGTTTTAATCTTTTACGAAAGAAGTCTAGATTGCAAGGTGGAATTGATAACCTGGTCATTTTTTTAACACCCCTAAATCCATTTATGTTATGTACCTGATGACCAGTGTATCTCATTTTACTGAGGGTGGTGGGTCTGTGGATAGACCACTGTGACTCTTGCTATTTGAATATTACCAAAGGAGTTCCAGAATGGGGAACTCTTCAGACTAGTATCTTTGTTTGGGCTGTACCGCCATTTTAGAACCAATCTTTGTTTGAGCTTTAACACCTTTCTCTTTAAGAAAAATGGCCTACGCTTTCTAATCCTTAAATTTCTTCCTCTGGAGCACCAGCCTCTACTTATTTCAAGAAGAATGCTATAAAAGAATTAAAGGAGAGAATATATGCAGAGGCACTTTTAAGAAGCGTAGGTCACCTTGTTTGATTAATCTATTATATAAAATGAGCCATTCAATTATGCTATTAATTTGAAGTAGTTTGAAACATCACCCTGAAGTGAATACTTATCTGAGAAATGATGAAATCAGCTTGCCCATTTTATAAGAAAAATAAGCCAAGATCTAATAATTTATATTTCAACAGTGAGAGATGGCTGCCTAGTAAAAATGAATTAATATCCCAGCCTCTAGTCTACAGGGAGTTTATAGCAAAGGAGCATTTAATATGGAATTGCTGAAGCAAATAATTAGTCAATGCAACAGCAGTTCTTTTTAATCACTTGAAAAGGATACCATTTCTCTGAGGAGGATGTCAAAAGATTGGCCCAGCTCAGGGTGCAGTTTACACTACTAGCTCCTTGGACTGCTGTAAGAAGAGTCTCTGGCTCTATAAAATACTGTAAGTACTACTTTGTAGTTATTAAGTAATCTTTTCCCCATTCTATTTTCTTTCTCTTAACTGCCACCCATAGAAAAGTCAGAGGGTCCAGTAAGTCTCTTTCCCTCTTCCCACCTCATCTGAAATTCATGGGTTAACAAATGGAACTGTAGAATTAATATTGTGTACCCAGCCCTATGCTAGGTTACAATGAAGTGACGGATGGGAATAATATCATCTTATATAGTTTCACCCCTGAGAAGGTTGTATTGTTTGTTGAAGAGATATTATAATATAAGCATACTTAAAATAATTTTAGGAAATGATAACCAGGTGCTATCTTGTGCTGAATTATAGGTAATAGAGTTTTTAAAAGGGAGCCCACAAGGGTTTGAAATTGATAGGATAAACTTAATAGGTTTGCTTTTTCTCTTTGAGCCAAGATAGATATGCTTAATATTACAGCCATCTGATGTGGGTGGTGCAGTTGTTTTATTTCAATGTCATTTATTACCTCTTGTGGCAACATGGAAAGAGGTATCTTTCCATATCTGTTTAGATATGTCCTCGCCATTGTGTTTGGCTATGTGCCAAAACTGACAAATTGGTGATTGTTAAATTTCATAAGCTTGAGCTTTTAAGGTTCAAGGATTGGGGGTATAAATATGATACTTTGGCTCTTTGCACCATTTTACTATATTTCTGCCCAAAAACAGATGGCCATGGATAATCCAGACCAGAGATACTTTTTTAGTTTGGAATCTTTAGTTTGGAACCAAGAGAACAGTGGAGAAATATACGTTTTAGAAAAAAAACCTTGACTTTCCTTACCTACTTTATGCTGTAGTTTATATGCCCTCTTTTCCTTCATCTTTTTCAATGGTGTTTTTTTCAGAGAAGCTTAGCATCCTTGATGTAAAACAAACACAAAGGCCCAGCTGAAAAAATATTCTTTAACATAAAATTTGAAACTCTTTTTGGTGAATATCTATGCATCCTAGCAGGAGCAACAAGAATCATATAAATGAGCTGGGCTTGTTACTGCCCATTTTAATTCATACCCATATTTCCTTTTAGCTTATCTCCCCCATCCCCCACCCCCAATGCCTAATGACATTGGCTGACTAAGGGTAATATACATAATGGTACTGAACCTTCTTGAAAACATGGTCTGTGCCACTATTTCTCAAACTCAAGTAATGTTTTAGGATGAAACACCTTTTAAAGGAACAAAATTTTCTGAGACCCTAAAGGATATGTGTTTTGAGGAACACTGACTTAAGAAAGTTATTTGAAATGTAAACATGTTATCCAATTTCAAGTTATCTTTGTCAAAGACATGTTTTATGCAATTCATGTGGAACTTGGGGATCCGTGAGAATATATCCACAAATCCCCGGTGTTCTTATCACTCCAATTTGAGAAATACTGGTCTGTGCTTATGAAATCTATTGCTACTAGTCAAATTGTTATTCATTCGCAATGTTTAACTATAACTATTATTGGAATTTGTTTTAAAGGGATGAATTCAGAGGCGGTTCTGTACCACAACTCAAGAGGAACGATGGCTTGATTTTAGGTGGATTGGTGCCTCTTAGACAGCATCCAAAGGTGAATGAATCTTGGAGTTGGATTTCACTTCATTGCTTGAAATAACCTCTACCCTTAAGAGAAATCTCAGCAGTTGTAAAAGAGGATGCTCTAGAAATGTGGGCATCTTCAAAACAGAGATAATTCTTGTGTTAATTCAATAAATATTTATTATGCCAGGCACTACAAAACCAGACATAATTTCTGTCAAGGAATTTGCTTTCTTATGGTGGATGCAGAAATGAACAAATCATTGTGGTGTTGTGCAGTGTGTTGAGTACCATAAAAACGTTAGGAAGTTCTGTGGGGCACATAGGAAGAAGAGTGGCAGAAACACTCTTACTGAGCAAAGTTATGGGGAAAATGCAAGGTGTGACCTTTGGTTGGTCAGCTCAGGATATGTAAGCTAAGGGCTTATAGGCATTACTCCAGTATATCTTGCTTTTTGCAAGTGCATTTTAATGAACTATATGTTCCCTTACATGGAGCGAATAGCTATTTTTCATGGATTGGGAGTGGGAGTTAGATACTGGCAAAGTTATGAAAAAGTTCTGAACTGGGAATAAAACTTAGATTTTAGTCTTGACTCTAACTTCAGTTCAAATTGCCATCAATTTGAACTTCAGCATCTCAGGACTGCTGATAAATTAAGATAAGGACTTAAATTGAATGGCATAATCCCTGAAAAAACATGACATTTTGTTGTTTGGAAAATTTTCAAAAGATCAATAAAAGCAAGCACTTAAAACTGACTACAATTAAATCCATGTAAACAGAAAAGAGAGCAAGTGTTTAGATTAGATTCGTAAATAATGATGGGGCCTGTGGTTATAAAATGTGGAACATAGACTTACCAGTTCTCAGGTTCCATTTTGCTTGCTTTTTAAAAACTGTGTCTTAGAAGTCTTCAGCACCTGGTTGAGAGATTTAAAAAAGAAAAATAACCTTTTAATTTTATACCAGTTTAGAGATTTACAGAACAATTCTGAAGATAGTTATAGAGTTTCTGTATACTTCACACAGTTTTCCTTAAGTGTTAATATCTTACATTAGTATGGTACATTTATCACAATTAACCAATATCGATACATTATTTTAAACTAAGGTCCATGTTTTACTCAGATTTCCTCAGTTTTTCCTTAATGCTTTTATGTTACAATAGGGTCCCATCCAGGATACCTCATTGCTTGTGTACTTAGTAGTACATGTTTCCTTGGGCTCCTCTTGGTTTCTTGGATACTTTTTGTTTTAATGAACTTCGCAGTTTTGAGGACTAATGGTCAGGTATTCTGTAGAATGTCTCCGTATTGGGATTTGTCTCATGTTCTTTTCATAATTAAATTGGGTTTATTAGTACTTGAGAGGAAGACCAAAGAGGTAGAGTGCCACTCTTTTTTTTTATTATTATTATTATTATTTTTATTTTTTTAGAGTGCCACTCTTATCATTTATCAAGAATACATGCTATCGATCATGTTGATGCTGTCCTTAATCACCTGTCTGAGGTTACTGTTTGTTAGGTTTCTCTACTGTGAAATTATTCTTTGTTTTCCCTTTCCATGCTGTACTCTTTAGAAGTAAGTCTATGTGCAGCCAACACTTTAAGAAGCAGGGAATTATCATCCCTCTCCTTGAGGGCAGAGTATCTACATAAATTATTTGGAATTCTTCTGCATAGGAAGTTTATCTTTTCTCCCCAATTTATATATTGATTCAATCATTTGTTTATATCAGTAAGATCTCATGGATATTTTATACTCTGGGTTATAATCCAGTACTATATATTGTTGTTCAAATTGCTCCAGCTTTGGCCATTGAGAATTTTTTCAGTTGGCTTTGACAGTAAGTCCATCATTGTGAGTTTTTTGTATGAGCACTTTCTTATATTTGGCATTGCAATATGCTTCAGGCTCACTTATAATTTCCTGCCTGATCCTACAATCAGCTATTTCTCCAAGGAGCCTTGATTACTTTTATTGGAGAATGATATTAGAAATCAAGATTTGGGTGCTATGTGTGCTCCTTACTACTGGAGTGTCATTCCATTAAGACTGTCTCAGTTGACAAGCACAAGGAGATATGTTTGCATTCTAACTTGTGTATATGCACATATCTATAAATATATATATAAAACCATCTGTATCTATATGAAGCTAAATGTGTATTTATACCTATGTCTTCAGCTCTAATCATTATCACATGAATTATTATAGCCACCTCTCCTTGCTTATCTGTTACCTCCCATTCAACAGTGAGAAGCCTGCTTTGGTTGGGAGATTTTTCTGTTAATATTATGTAGGACAGTGAGTGTTTGACATTTGCTTTTGTGGTTAAGCTTAGAGAGAGTTTAGCTGTAGTGTGATTAAAAGTTCCTGAGACTAGAAATGACCGTTCTACCTTATGTGTTTCTGCCAGTTTTGAAACTGTAGTATAGGTTCCAGAAACAAACTTAATGTCTTAAGAACCAGAATCTATCCCAATTCACATTTTGTCCTTCATTTTTAGATTAACTTACTCTGATATATCCAGGTAAACTGTTCCTTGGGTATACATTTCTTTTTTCAGTTTTTTTTCTAAGAGCTAAAGGACTCTGAGAACACTGGAGGTAGGAAGGGAGAGGAAAGGCATGTTCTTATGTGGAATTGGGAAGGTCCATTTAGTGACCGCCAGCTAGTCTTCCAAAGTGTCTATTTAAGACCAAAGAGTAGATAAATGCTTTCCTTGGCAATTGTAACCCAAATCCAATTTTCAATCTTTTTATTTTATTCAAGAAAATTGGTGTGCTGATACAAAAAACATGTTCTGATTAACATTGCATATGAATTAGTAATTGAAAATAAAATGAAATTGAACATAATTTTAGTATTTTATGTTACATATTAGTCTGAGACAGTGTTTCTGAAATCTGTGTAATAAGTTTGACAAAGGGAACTCTTTTCTCAGACTTTTCCCTTGTCCCCAACATTTCATTATAAACATTTGCAGAAAAGTTGAAAGAATTGTTCCGTGTATACCTATATAACCTACCACTTAGATTCTGTAATTAATAGTTTGCTATATTTGATTAAGCTTTACCTTTAAAAGAAAAAAAATTCTTATGGACCTTTTAGTTTTATGGGAGTATTGTTAAGTGAAAGTTTATGAACAAAACAGGAATAAAATCTTGCCTAGATTATAATACAGCTATAAAACATAGCAGATATACAAATTAGTAGTAAATAAATAGCTACAAAAATGTGAATATGGTACTATTATAGTATTGCCTCTTTTGAGTGTGCCTGTCTATACTGTTATGTGCTGTGTTGATATACTTAACCAAACTGCTGTTTTTGAACTGCTACAAAACCTTGTTATAGCACATAGCAATGCTATTGGCTTTCATTGGGCACAAAACACATTTATATACTGTTTGCCTCTATTCTTTTTTTCTACACGCTCCAGGCAACAAAACCAGACTATTTGCCACTAATCTGGCAGTGCAGTCCTCCATTATGAGGTAGTCCTGTAGCTGATTCAGACTTTCTTTACAGTGAAATGAAAATACGGTAAAAGTTTTGTGGAAAGCTCCCATAGTCCCGAGAATGCATGCACAGACCCCAGAGTTAAAAGACCTGTAAATTGAGAGAAAACATGGGTTCAAGTATTACTTGGCTACCTAGTAGTTATATAACACTGAGGTAGTGTCATCTTCTGGGCTGCTAGTTTCCTTAGAGAATAAAAATATTGGATTACATGATTATTTATATCCCTCCTAGCTGTGATGATTCTGTGACTTGGCTGGTGCTAGAGTATTCAGACCACATGGCTGGCTATGCCACTTGGTTATTATGTCCAAAATATTTTGATATTTTGTTGGGCTGTGAGATGACAGATTCTTAAAATTCTTCTCAATGGGCTGGGCGTGGTGGCTCACGCCTGTAATCCTAGCACTCTGGGAGGCCGAGATGGGAGGATTGCTTGAGCTCAGGAGTTCAAGAATAGCCTGAGCAAGACCGAGACCCCCTCTACTAAAAATAGAAAAAATTAGCCAGTCAACTAAAAATGAAACAAACAAACAAAAAAATTAGCCAGGCGTGGTGGCGCATGCCTGTAGTCCCAGCTACTCGGGAGGCTGAGGCAGGAGGATCTCTTGAGCCCAGGAGTTGGAGGTTGCTGTGAGCTAGGCTGACACCACGGCACTCACTCTAGACCGGGCAACAAAATGAGACTCTGTCTCAAAAAAAAAAAAATTCATTCTCAATGAATGTTGAACCCTAGTGAAATGTTTATATGGTTTTGTACCAGTTCCAGAATGTAACCACTTTCTCTGGCTTTAGTTTCCCCTTAAGGGAAAGAGAATGCTCTTTGAGTATGTCATTAACATAGTAATAGGCAGCGCCAGAGGACTTTGGAGCTACAGCAGCCATGCTCTGTAAATATGGCTCAGAAGGTTTGGGAAGACTGGAATGGTTGTTTCCTTTTAGATATCATAAATGAATTTAAATTAGAATCCATTCATTTAAAATTTCTTCAAGTAAATTCACTTGCACATGGAGTGTTCCTTTATTTTATTAAAGGAGTTTCAGGAAGAAACAGAGTAAATATGTATAAACTGCCATGTTTAACCAGAAGCCTTATATGGGGGTGAAGTATCTGTCTTAGGTTAGATAACGATGGGGAAGGATATTGGCAAGAGATTCTGAAGCTTATTCTGCTCATATTGAGAAATCACAGAACACTGTTTGGCCTTATTAGACATCTTAGCTAGAGAATAGAGTTGAATAAGTGATTTCTGGTGCTTTGGTAGCCTACTGAACCTTGTCTTTCTTCTCAAGGACATTCTGAGCATGTGAAACCTGAGAACTGCAAGCAGGTAAGAGGCTCCAAATTCAGCAGATCTTTTCCTTTTGAGAATCTGGGACAGGCTCTAGCTAATCTGAGCGGATGGCTTGCAAGCTACCTGGAGAAAAAGGTAGTTTGGGGAGCTTATTGTTGTAGGACTTCTATCTTTGCCTTTAAGGGCTTTGAACTTCCTGCAACTCTCCTTTTACAAGTAGAGCATAAGCCAGTTTTCTGAAGTTTCTACACAATATATTTTTTGCATATACACATATATTTTAACTTTTCGATAGTGATTTTGGGTCACTTCATTTATCCCTCAGCTGGGCTCCTGTGAAGTCTGTAAGGGCAAGCATACTTGACCCCCATTCCATAAATGAAGAATGAGAGATTCAGAGCAATACATTACTTCCTTTCCCGTCACATAACTAGTTAGCAAGAGAAGTAGAATGAATCTACACTTTTTGATGATTGGGCCTTTGAATTATTCCTGCCTTCCTGTGGCATGCTGGTATTAAGTTCTTAGGATTTGTTTATGAATAGGACCAATTTGATCTGTGTCCATCTGTTTGGGCAGGGCAAATTCCATTCTCACTGCCATTTCCTTGCTTTAAGAAATTGAAGGCTTCTTAATTTGAACAACAATTAAATTGCTAAAAAGTAAAAGAGAGCCCCAGGGCCTGTATGAGCTAGTAACCGAATTCCTAGCCTTCGGTACCACGTTTTTCCTTTTGCACAGATTTGATTAGCTGTTGTCATAACTGGGGTTCTATATGCCTTTGACCATTCTTGGTTTCTCTGAATATCCTAGAATTCTGGGGGTGCCCTACTGTACAAGTTGTTCAAGAAATGTTACCGTGTGGATTGAGTAGAAAGCAATTCTGTTTACCTTGGCAGTATTCCAGCATGGTAATACTTAAAGTACAAATTAAAAGAAGGGAATGCTGCAAAACTAGGTGGCTGACAGGCACTTCGATTGAGGTGGATTGCTCAGTTCTTAATATAGCATTTTATAAAAGAAGCCAGAGGCAATGCGAAGGAGAATTCTTACAGAATTCATAGGATCAGACCACATTGGAGCTTTTCTAAGTGGCTTCATGATCTTGGTTAAAAAAGTTTTGGCCAGGCGCGGTGGCTCACGCCTGTATTCCTAGCTCTCTCGGAGGCCGAGGCGGGCGGATTGCTCGAGGTCAGGAGTTCGAAACCAGCCTGAGCAAGAGCGAGACCCCGTCTCTACTATAAATAGAAACAAATTAATTGGCCAACTAATATATACAAAAAATTAGCCGGGCATGGTGGCACATGCCTGTAGTCCCAGCTACTTGGGAGGCTGAGGCAGGAGGATCGCTTGAGCCCAGGAGTTTCAGGTTGCTGTGAGCTAGGCCGATGCCACAGCACTCACTCTAGCCTGGGCAACAAAGCGAGACTCTGTCTCAAAAAAAAAAGAAAAAAAGTTTTAGCTTCTCCTTCCATTAGTTTTAACCCCTTAATTTCTTGCCCCTCACTATATTTTCTGATGAGAACACAAGAGTGTTAATCCACATTCTAGAGGATTGCTCATTAATAAGGACTAAAGAATAAAATGCAGTGTGGAAATTTTGGTAATTATTCAGCTCTAAATTGCTCTTGGAGATTAGGGGAAGTACACAAACTAAAGCTGGAATGAATAGAAGTCTCGTTTTGCTAGACTGGTAGCCAGAATAAAGAGTTCTACACAGCTGTAATGTCCACTCCTCAATCCATACAAAGAAAAGAGTTGAATTCAACCACTAGTTGCCCATTAGGACAGACTTTGCCAGTGTACTCCATTTCAATAATTTATTTTTCTTTTGTTTCTTTTCCAGATCTTCCTCCAAAGAATAGGCTTGTTGCTTTACAGTGTTAGTGACCCATTCCCTTTGACGATCTCTAGGTGGAGATGGGGCATGAGGATCCTCCAGGGGAAAAGCTCACTACCACTGGGCAACAACCCTAGGTCAGGAGGTGCTACCAAGAGACTTTTCTGGGCTCAGATAGGAAGATGAAGTCTCGAAGACAACCACCCCATGTCAAGGTGGGTAAGCTGTCCCTAAAAGCATAATAAGTCATTGATCTTATTTTCCAGTATACCTTGCACTTAGCTTTCCACTAGAGGTTATATTCATCATTATCCTGTATCTGCTTTGGTAAAAACTGCTTCCTAACTAACCTGGGAAGCAAATGGGTGAGAGATTGGTGAAAATGATGATGTATAGAGGGTATAGCAGGTTGCACGATATAAAAGTGTCTAGTGTGGGAATGTAGTAAGTGGTAGAGGCCTACAACCAAATTGTTCTTGTTTTTAGGAGAACATGGACAACTGCCACATCAGTGACACTGATCTCATGGGCAAATGGTTCTATTCCATCTCGTCCTCAAAGTCTCCTTGAGGCCTAAAGGAGAACTTTGTCAACTATTTACATGTAAGATGCCTTGGGATGGCCATGGGATATAACACACAAGAGGCTGTCTGAGAAGATAAATAAGAGTTATGTCTTTTTATGCTGTGTTTGCTGATTGATGGGCACCTCATAATCATAAATGGAAACCTGACCGAAGATGGCACAAAGTTTTCTGTCATTAGGCAAGATCTAAAGAACTGGGACCCTATGTTCTGTAGGTCAGTGATGGAAGAGGCTGAGTAGTGGGTGAGGGTTGGCAGATGAAGGTGACCATTCAGTGTAGTAAATTCTGATTGTACAGGCATTGTCCAGCATTCTTCATAATGAGTGAGTGCCTTATAAATTTCTTTCTTGTTTTGTTTTGTTTTTTTTTTTTTTTTCTAATATGAAGTCAACGGTCATTTTTGTCTTTGCTTCTCTATACATAATGTATTTTTTTTTTTTTTTGGTTGCTCAAGTGAAGCAGTGGGAGTGGAGAATACCTTGTAAATTTCATGAGATGTTTTCATGGGTAAAACCCTCGAAATGTTATAATTGACTAGAAAGACCCATAGATTTAGAAATAAAGGAAGTTAGTAACAGAACATAATAGAATGCTAAGGTGAACGTTATCTAGGAAGATTGTTTTGGTAGTCCTGAACCAGGAGACTTAAATAAAGCAAATTTGAGGCGGTCCTATTCTTCGATCTTATTCCCTTTCCCCCTCATATATATTATTTGTTTTTGTGATCTCAGTTATTAATCACTTAAAGGGACTCCTTCCTAGCTGACTGGCATGTTAAACAGGATTCCAGTCTTCAACTAAAGGTATAAGCCTATGACTGGTGATAGTGTCTCCTAGTGAGTCATTAAGTAATATCAGGCAAGACCGTTTCCCATTTATGTCGTAGTTTCCTATTCTGTTGAATGAGAAATTACGCTCATTTTATTTCTGAAGACCTAAAAGCTTTGACTTTATAAGTGTCTAAGCTCTGTAGAAACACTGTCTATATCATTAATTTGAATCTTCTGTAAGTCTTAATACCTACAGCGTTTACATGGCTTCTCTTTGTTTTTGTTTTTTTTTTTTTAGCTCTTGATTGTTCCCTTCATATTTGCGAAATCATTATCCTTCCCAAAAGCAGTGGAGAGAGTTGGTTTTTCGGCACGCACAAGAAATTTGAACATACCAAAGGAAGTCAGCCTTCCCACCTGAAGATCAACATGCCTGGCACTCTAGCACTTTAGAATAACAGGATGAAGTAAGTTGTTGGTGCTGCAGTCCTGTGAGGATTGCTGCAGAACTGATAGCTGGTTTGGGGGAGTTGGTGTTGGATGGGAATGTGGTGGCCTAACATGGAGCAGAGCCAAATGTGAGACTGGAAGATGAGCAGTCTCCCCTATTCCCAACTGGGTTCACTGAAACAACTCGAAGACATTACAGTCTGCTTATCAGATGTATCAGAGGAATTGAGCCTCTTTTAGTCTGTCCTATGTCTTCATTGCATAGGTCCTCTGTCATTCTTAGGGGCTTAAACACTGAGAAGCCTGAAACAGTTTTTGCTTTCTGCAGAAAAGGTGGCCTTTTTTCATCTCCATTTTTGAGAGAATATCTGCAGTTAAGGTTTAGTATAAAAAGAAATTTAGACCCTGAAGCAACCATTATAATTGTGAAGGGTGTGAAAACTAAGTCAGTTTTCTAAAGGGAGGGGGAAAGGAGAAGGTATAAAATGAGGGGATTGACTAAGTGCTGTGTAAGGGTCCTTTATGGAAATATTCACTCATCTGTGATGTCTCATTTGGCTCTTATGGAAATCCTAGTAAATAGTTGGAGCAGAATGTTAAGAGGCACTCATTCTGTGTTCAAATCCTCTCTGCTACTCATTGGGTGTGTGGATTTTGGCAATTTAGAGTGTCCCAATAAATAGACTTGTCTGTTTGTGAGGGTTAAATAAAATAATGTATGTAAAATGCTTAATACAGGTGCCTCACACATGGCAAAGTAAAAGGTAACCCAAGACGTTTCATAAGTTCATTGGATACAAGTGACCACTAACACTATGTGGTAGCACGCAGAGTTGGCACATTTTGGTTCTTTATAAGAAATTCCCTATGGTAAAAAATCTGTTTAAGTAGGAGAGCATCCATGCTGGTGGTCATGGTTGTTTTCATTATTATTGGTAGTAGTATAAGTAGTATTGGTATAATAATTGCTTATAATAATTATTAATGGCATTTTTTTTGTTTTCTTTTTGTAATCTTTTTGTGATTGTTCTCATGTCTGTTGTGCCCCTCACTGTGTCTTGTTTTTTCTACTTCTTACCCTCTTTTCCTAAATGTTTGCCTTTGCTTTTATCTCACAAGTGTGTACTGCTTTGCTAATTTCTTTCTTCCTTGAGTGTCTTTGCTCTTTCTTCTCTTCTTCTCTGCCTACAGTGTCTTACCCATTTCCATTTTTTCTCTTGCTAATTTCTTCTGTGTGTGCCTTTGCCCCATTTTCTCTTAGTTCTCATGAGTGCTCTGTGGCTTGGCTTAGATGTATCTCATTTTTTCATTTTGTTGCTCTATGTCTTTGTTCTCCTAGATCTCACTCTTCTTTTTCACTCTTTCTTCCTTTTGTGTCTCTTCTTTGGGTCACATGCTCTGTGCTTTGTGTGGTTTTCTTGTTCTGCCTGCCTCTCTTCTTTTTCTCTTTGTGAATTCTGATTGTCACTCTTTCCCTTTTTCTTTTGACATTTCACCTTTTTCTGAGTCTGGCCTCCTTTCTTCTATTTCTACTCCTTATCTCACATTTCTCTTTTTCTCTTTTCTAGATTTCCTTTCTGCTTCTCTTGGGCTGTTTTCTCTCCCCCTGGTCCCATGTGCCTCAGTGTCTCTTTGCTGTTTGTGATTTTCTGTTTCAACCTTAATCTCTCTGCTTGCTTGTGCTTCTTCTCTGCTTTTTCCCCTTTCTGCTCATCTTTGAGTATTCCAGCCTCTTCGTCAGTCTATGTCTCCCTTTCTTTCATTTCATATAATCCTCTCTTCTTGAATGTCTTTGCATATGTGGGCATGTGTACGTGTGTGTGTCATGTGTGACAAAGGGGCTTCCTAACCCCTTCCCAGTAGGTGCAGAATGTCAGCTATCAAAATAAGCATTGCAGAGCTGTTCATTGTGCCAGGCTGCCCTGTGAGATGATCCACGACCAAAACAAGGCCCTAGGGTCTAGACTGAAGTAAATCCCAAGATGGACAGAAGGTGGAAGGCTCATAATGGACAGATGGCTCAAAGTAGAGGACAAAGGGCTTTGAGACCTGAGGACTAAGATGGAAAGCCCATGTCCCAAGATAGATGGGAGCCTCAGGCCTGAGACCAACAAAAGCCTCAAGAGCCAAGATGTACAAAAGGTGGCCTGAGTTGGACAGAAAGCCTGAATTGGATAGAAGGCTCAAGTCTTGAGTTGGACAGAAGGCCAGAGCCTAGGAGGGAGGCTGAAGGCCTAAGAGCTGGGACAGGACACATGGAAGGCCTGAGAACTGAAACCTATGGCACAAGGCCCAAGACCTGAGATAAGCCTAAGGTTGTATTTTGAAGACCTATGACACAAGGATGGAAGACCCCAGACACAAACAAGACCACGTACTTAAACCTTCCTGGATGGACAGAAGGACCAAGGGAAACATATCTTAAGACTAAATCCTGAAAGCTGGAGGTCCATGACCCAGAACTCAGGAAGAGTTGAAGCCCCAAGACCAAAGGAAGTCCCAAGATGAGAACCCTAAACCCTTGTCTCTTTTCTATTGTTATACCCCCTTGGACATTTCCAGTTCTCTTATTTCCATGTAAGCCTGTTTCTTTTGAGATGTAATTTTTTGATGTTATCATTTACTGTAAAGGAACATATCTTTAGATTGATGGTATTATTCCTGGGCAAGTCTTGAGCAAGTTTTTAATTACAGTTTTTAGCTATTTGTTAAGGTGTTAGTGTTTTTTAAATTTCCATTTCTATTCACATCTACTCCACTTATGAGACACACTCAAATCCAGCCAATATCTAGTCTGGCTTTTATTATTCCTCTCAGGAGCAAGCACCCATATAAGTGACATTACGTTTCAGTCTTCTCTTTTAACCTCAGAAGCCCTAGGCTGGCGAGAAGACGAAAGTTTCAGGCTGTTGGGGGTTAAAAGTGCCAGGCTATCTATAGAAAATGTGAAGAGATACTCCAGGCCAATGAGAAGAATTAGACAAGAAATACACAAATGTGCCAGCTTTCTAAGAAGCACCTGCCAGCAACACCTACCCTCTTTGAGCTTAGGTGGGCAGGATTCCTGGGGTTTGAGATTTCTAGTGATGGTTACAAAAAGGGTGATTGGGCCTGGGACAGAGTGTGGCCCCAAAGGGACAGCTGAACTCCCTGCTCATAGTAGTGGCCAAATAGTTTGGTGGACTGTGCCAATCCTACTCCTGGATTTAATGGACATCTCTAGACTTACAGATGAGAGAACTCGGGACTATTTAGCAGGTTTAATCCTTTCCTTGATTTTCCCTCTATTATAAGGGAAGTTGATTGAAATGATTGATAATATATATGAAAGTACTATAAAACGCAAGTACTAACAAAAAGCAAGGCATGCTCATTAGTAGTGTATTGGCAATCATGCACAGCTAACATTTGAAAGTGCAGTGTAATTTGTAAAGCATTGTGTAAATCAGCCATCCCAGTTTTTCTGTAAGGGGTGAGATTGTAAATACTTTGGACTTTGCAGGCCATGTGGTCTCTGTTGCATATTCCTTGTTTAAACAACCTTTTTAAAAGGTAAGAACTATTCTAACCTTTGGAGCCAAGTAGATTTGGCCTGCCATTCATAGTTTACCACCCCCTGATGTAAATGCCAGAGAATATGTCTGAATAATATTATTAATTTCCTTCTCTGTGCCTGTCCCTGTGCTAGGCACTAAGGATGCAATGATTATTTGTCACATCCAGGTTACCTGAAGGAAAATATGGAAAGTGCCTTGTAAACTATAAAGCACTTGCACTCTGCAAGGCACAGTGGATACAAAGAAAGAAGCATGAATAAAAAAGTGCTTTGTCAAGAGAATATCTACTATGTAGACATAAGGAATTAAGTGTTCAATAAATGAATAATTTCTATACTTGAAGCCAATGTGTTTCTGCTGCTCTGGTGATTTCGAGTAAAGATACAGACAGTATTCCAGGTAGCAGAAAAGAAAACACATGGAAACTGCTTTTAAACTAAAAGTATACTGCAAACACAAGTCATTTTTTAAGCTATTGTGATCACCTATTGTGCCAGATACCATGCTAGGCACTGGCTATACCAAAATGTTCTCATAGAACTGAAGATTTCAGGAAAGGAGTGCAGATTGACGTGCTTTGTAAGCCAAAGCACTATGCAGATGTCAATGGGCTACACATTTATGAATGAATGAATATTAACCACCTCTTACCTACCAGATATTATTTGGGGTACTGTGAAATCCAACATAAATTTTCCCAAGTAATTTCCCATGTAATAAGAGGAAAGTTTATGTTCTATACTATTTAGATGTAAGGAATGAGATATTGGTTAATTTATCAATCAAGCCCTTACTGGCGAAGTCAAGTTAAATTATTACCAGTATATTTTCCCAAGTCAGAGGAATAGGCAATGACTGTGAATGTGCTTTCTAAACTATAAAGCACTATGTAAATGTAAGACATTAGATGATTTCTGTATGAGTAAACTTTCTGTAAGATAGGCATTGTCTCTACAAAATTCTTTTTGTACTTTACCCATAATGAGAAAGAGTGGTATAGGCCGGGCGCAGTGGCTCACGCCTGTTAATCCTTGCACTCTGAGAGGCTGAGGCGGGAGGATCCCTTGAGCTCAGGAGTTTGAGACTAGCCTGAGCAAGACTGACAACCAGTCTCTACTAAATATAGAAAAATTAGCCAAGACATGGTGGTGTGCGCCTGTAGTCTCAGCCACTCGGGAGGCTGAGGCAGGAGGATTACTTGGGCCCAGGAGTTTGAGGTTGCTGTGACTAGGCTGATGCCATGGCACTCTAGCCCAAGCTACAGAGCAAGACTCTGTCTCAAAAAAATAAAAAATAAAAAAAAATAAGAGAAGCATAGTGTAAATAGTTACACAAACCAATGGTTTAAATATCTGTTAAATGAACTAATCAATTTTAACTGCCTAGTATGTGAACCCACTGTTAAAGGCACTGAAGAGATGCACAGATTTATTATTATATTTAATTGTGCACACAGCTGAGAATGTGGCAATACATATGTTAGCATTTGGTGAACTCTAAAGCACCATGTAAGTGTAACTATTGATTTTCTTACTTGGTGCTGAGTACTAGTTTTATAAAATTATATCATAGTTATTATACTATGCAAATAAAGTAGAAAAATTTGGGTGAAAATTGTTAACTGCTGAATCCTCTAAATATAATATGTATGGGATTCAAAGTCTGATGAGTGCAAGAATGGATAGTAATTATCTAATATGTGCTAGTCTCACTGCTAGCCATTGCAAAGATAAGCCATTTTTATTCTGTTCTGGGGAACAGAAGAAAATATGTGTAACATCAGTTTATAATTTGTAAACTGCCATAATATATAAGCAGTATGTGCAGAATGAACATTGATTATTTATTCTTATCCTCAGAGATGGCAACTGAGGGTACAAAAAGTGATTATCATTATCTGCAACAAATCTGTGTGTAAATTTACAAAGCCTTCAGTTCAATAGAGATAGGAATGAACTATTGGCTTACCGAATGATTACTGATTACTTTCTATGAGGCTTAGAACTACATGCCCTAGGATATAAAAATGATGTTATCATTATGGGGTGCTCACAGGAGTAAATGAAGTAATAATGGGTGTGAGATCCAGACCAAAGGCACTTAACTACTATTAAGTCAATGTGTCAAATGCTGAGCTAATTTGAGAGAGACAATACTGTCCAGAAGGATACATGCTCCCTGGCCTGATTGAAGAGATGGAAAATGTTTCTAAAAGCAAGATATTGTGGTCCTCCATCCAGTTTGTTTCTTAAATGCAGAATGCCGATGATGGAGGTGAATTAGGCCTGCCTTGGTCTGACTTAGAGACAATAAAGGATTAAAAATAAAGAGCTCGCATTTGCTTTTTAATTCATTTGCTAAACAAAGCATCTTTTATATGGAATATGCCACTCTGGGTTCTAATAATAAGAGAGGTGAAATGTGCCTAGTCTAAAAGGCATTAAATTACTGATCCAGCTGAAGACAGAAAAATATCTTTGATTTGATTATTTTGTAAATAATATTTCATTGCCTGTTCTCTGCAAGGTACTATGCTTAATGAGTTAGTTGAGTAGGTCTGGTTCAGAAGACCTATTGACTTGCCTTGGAGATTAAAAAGAAGGAAAAAGGCAAGGTCCTTTCAACATAAAATGGAGGCTTTTTTTCTAGTGTCAGAAATCCTCAAAATCACTTGCTCATTGGCCTCATTTGAAGCCAGAGGATTGCTAAAAGGGCTCAGGGTTTGTCCTTTAATTCATTACTTAAGCATCTGCTTTTATTACAGTTAAATGGTTCAAGATGAAGCAACTGGTTTTAAAGGTATTTGCTCATTGGCCTGGC